GGGGGGGAGTTTAAAGGATAGATCAAAAATGAAAAAGAAAAAAAGTAAAAAAAGTTGTTGACTTCCATTCTTTTCATCATGCTGTCTAGTCTTTATTTTCTTCTAGTTTTATGTATAGTCAGCTCTCAGTACCGTCACAAATTCTTCTTATCTATATTATCAATTTTGTATATTCTTGTTTCAAATAATCTTTAAATACAGTCCAATCTGTTATTTTTTTGAATACATTGATTATTCCTGAGGTGATAAGTTAATTGTCCATACTTATGGTGTCTACTATTTTCCCTATCCATAAATGCCACTTCCTAATTGTTTCTATCATAAAAACATGGAAAAATGTATTAAACTGCAAAAACTTTGTTTTTGCGGGACATCCTGCAGCACATTTTGTTATATGTTTTATTTTTTCAATGAATATCTCATAAAGTCTCAACCAATTCAACATAGTTTGTGGCAGCCACAAAAATGAAGTTTTGGGGTATAACAACTAATTTTAAAGCAAGTACCACACAATTAAACAGGAAATAACACTTTCAAACCAGGAATGGAACATTTTTCAAATTTTGCTACGTAGTGTAATTTAAATAAGCAGAAGTTGTGTTTTATTGTGGTTCTCTGTGAAAGTACCCCCACACCACCCTATTATGTAGGGTGCCTAGTATAGCAGCTTCGGCACTGCGTAGGGGTCAGAAGATTTTTCTGAGAAGATTCTGGAAGGGACTCAATCTAATGAAAACTTAACAGAATTTCAGCTGTCTTCAGATACCACTTCATATTCTGGTAACTCAGAAGAACCTTCCCTGTAACTTGATTTAGCTAAGATTTTCATTCCTCATTTATTTTCTGCTTTCTACATGTCTTCGAATTAAATCCTGTGGAGACGTATACTGATCTTGGACAAGTTACTTTCATACTGCAAGCCATATAATCCCCAGCCAAAGTGCTCCAAAACTGGAACGTCACTTTGGTCCATCAAGATCACAAAGATTAGCTTGGAATTCTGTAAAGGATTTTTCAAACCTTTACAACTGACTAAAAAAATACTAAATCTTCTCCCACCCAATACATATTTCACCTTTTCAGCAAATCTTTATTTTGGAATAGTTTTAGCTATAGTGCTGACGTTGAAGAGAGGATGAAAACTCAAGAGGAAAGGATGAAACCGCATTGATCTTTAGAGTCAGAGCCAAAGTCCACTGAAGTGAATGGAAGGCCTCCCATTGATTTCATTGAGCTTTGATTCAGCTTCCTGGGGAGGCTCAAGCAGCAGGAGGCCTTGAGCAAAGTTGTGAACAATCAATGAAAGCATCAGGTTCAGCACACACAGAGACAGTCTAAACAAAAACAAAGTCAGAGGTGGATGAAAACATCACCTGTTCCTTCTCACCACACCACTCTGCCTCATATTACTGATGAGGTATGTGCACAGGAGCCTTGTTGTCTTCCATGGGGGAATTGTTTGCTGCTCTACATAGTAGGCATTACAGAAAGGATGTTTCTTTGCTTAGATGTTGTGATGCAGGCTTCTCTGATAAAAATGAACTCTGCATCTACAGGCAGGCATCACAAACCCAGTCATTCAAACTGCACAGCATGTATGAATTTACCCCCTGCATGTATTCATTATATTAGATATACATCCCTTGGTTTAATCCTCTTTCTGAATATTTCTCAAGGTTCCATGCTTAAAAGTCTCATGATACCCTTTTTTCCATTAAGAATATTTATAAGTTCATTTTTTTCTTGTGTAATTCAGTGTAGTATACACAAAATTCTGAGATAGTTTCTCATCTAGGCACTCATAAACCTCTGATTATTTTAAAGAGTTTTTTTAATTTATTTATAGTATTTATATTCTGCCCTTCTCACCCTGAAGGGGACTCAGAGTGGATCACAGAACACATATACGGCAAACATTCAATGTCATTATACAAAGACAAGACAGACAACTGTACATAGATAGACATCTTGGAGGCTGTGCTCAGTTCTGGCCATGGTGGGGGGAAGGAGGGGGTGCTCCACTTTCCCTGCCAAAGAGCTTTGTGTGTAAACTTCCTCCTTGATCGAATCGCCAGCATTTTTCTGGCATTTCCTTATGGGTACCTTAAATACCTCCCCACTTAAGCGGTACCTATTTGTCTACTCACATTGCTGTTTTTGAAACTGCTAGGTAGACAGAAGTTGGGCAAAAGGCCAAGAGCTCACCCTGACCTGGGTTTCGAATTGTCAACTTTTTGGTTGGCAAGATTTACTGCAGCTGGCGATTAACCTGCTGTGCAAAAGCCCAGCCCATTATATCTTTTCAGACAATGTCATAGCTCCCAAAGTAAAATAATAGAATGATGGACTTGGAAGGGATGATCTAGCGAATTTGTTACTCTGTGTGAAAATTTTAGTGTATAGATCTATGTTTGCAGGGGGCAGATAGGGAAGATTAGAGACAAGTAGTATAGCAACAGCGGACAAGATCATTTGCATATGGAGCCCGATTGGTCCTATGCAGATTAGTGCAGACAGTTGGGAAGAGCAGAGCCGAACATTCTAAAGGGGCGGAGTTAAGTTCAAAAAGGGAGTTAGAGTAGAGAGTTTAGAAAATGACAGTTGGGAACAGAGTTTGAGAAATGAGCAGTTATGAAAATGTGTGAGGGATCTCTGTGTGAGAAAGAAGTCAGGAACTTCTGTTATTGAAGTAGTTAGGACTTCCTGTTTAGGAAAAGGAGAGTTGGGAATCCCTGCCTAAAAGAAGAAGTTAAGAAACACTGTCTGARGGAGACAGTGAGGAATCTCTGTTAGAGAGTTAGTTGAGAATGGCTGCTTGTGAAGTTAGTTAAGGAAAAAGCTGTTTGGGAACAGTTAGGAATYTGTGTGAAGAGAAGAARTTAACCCTRYCTGAGAGAGAGAGAGACAGTGGGGAATCAGAGAATAMGTWATAGCYAGTGTGGCTTAAGTTACAATATTATCCTGTCAAGAGTTTAAMAGRAAYGTGCACCAAGTATATTATACATGACTGTAACTCAAGTTCGCAACAAAAATAGTAATTGTAACCACAATCKTTTGGAGCTTGGAATGTTTGAATAAACGTTGATACTTTGTTTCATACAAGAGAGACTCAGGCCTGTGATTCCAAGCTAAGAGGCTTTTGTTTTACAACACACAGAGCAAGTCAGATATTAAAGTGTTGACAGAGGACTGCACATGGGTGCATGCTTCTTTTACAAACTGGTGGCTTCCCTTTTGTTACAGATGACAAGGACCATCTCCTCAATTGCAGGAATCCAGTGCTAAATCATCCTGGCCATCTAGCCTCTGTTTTAAAACCTCTGGTGAAGAAAATCCTACCACCTTTGGAGGTTGTATCCACTATTCCACTATCCCTTGCTGCAATTCCCAATGAACAATGAGCATCTTCTTACTTGTAATTTGAAACCACCAGCTCAGGTCCTATTCTTATGACAAACAGAAAACAAGTTTCTTCCATCTTCCATTTGAGAGCTCTTCAGATATATAAAGATGGGCATTAGATTGCCTCACAGCCTTCTCTTCTCCAGGATAAATATATTCAGCTCCATCCTGTGCTATTCATATTGCCTGGTTTCTCTTGGTTGTCCTCTTCTGGAGATATTCCAACTTATCGAAGTTGGAATGTATTTTTTTGCCAGAGGGAAAGACAAACAGACAAGGTGCTTTGGTCCAGGGATGGAAATATTATTGGGCAGAAACACTAAAGCAGCTCTCTCCAGCATAACCAGTCATGAATTTTTTTGGGAAGTGCAACCCAACAACACTTCCAAGGGTTAATGGCTCCCACCCTGCATGAACTGAAACTGCACCCCAGCCAAGTGGCAGGCAGGAATTCTGATTGGAAATAACTTATTTTGGTTGGACTCCAGCAGCAGCAGCTCATATTTTGTATTTGATGCAATCCTCTTTTGTCTCTGTAGAAACATTCCATCTGAGGAAGTGGATTGAGATCCAAAAAAGCTTAAGTGAGCAAAAAAAAAACCCGTTAATCCTCAAGGTGCTATAAGACTCTTAGTTATTTTGTAGTGTGGCTGTATCAAAATATAGAACAGGCAGTGTTTGATGCACATTACTCCATTACTTTGATAGTCAACAAATAGTTTTCCATAGAATTCCAGTTCATTCTTCATTTAGAACCAGGAACCTTCCTGGTACAGATGGCAGCAGGAAATGAAGTAATGAAAGCAGTGGAGAAATTGGCTCTTTCACCCACCCTCACTGTATTCTGCAACCCTGGAAAAAGGGGGAGATGCTAGCATAGTACATTAATCCCAGCCATAAACAGCCTTGTGTTCAGATGTAAATCAGGTACAGGGTGGTTCCCGAACTTGGTTGCCCAGGTGTTTTGGACTCAGCTCCCAGAATTTCTGACTACTGATCAAACTGGATGGATCTTTTGAGAGTTGAAGCCTAGACCATCTCAAGTTTTAGAATCACTGAGGTAGGGCGTTAAAGACTTCAACAACTTGATGTGGATCACTTCAAATTCCACATGTTTTTATATTAAGCAAATTATTCAAGGACATCTTTATGGAAATATTCCTTTCTCATTGCACTAAAGAAGTGACCAAGACCTACCGGACATTCATTACAGAGTGCAGAGCTGTGCCATATCTTTCTCACATCCTGACCCTTCAGCTATAAGCAGTTCCTCCTCTATCATCAATCATAGATTGTTTCTTGCGCTGAGTGCCATTTCTCTCCTCTGGGTAAATCTCATCTCCCAGAATGGGATGGGACTCTTCCTCCCTCTGCTGATGGAGCAAGCATGAGCTTAGTGGAGTGAGACAAGAGCCCATGGCCTGCGTCTGGGGAAGAGGGGAGCCTCTGTTTTCCTTCTTGTCACTGTCAATAGCAGGATTCTAAATCTGTCTCTCAGATTTGGGGGGGGGGGGTAGGAGGATTTGCGTCAATGGGTGACTTTTATAATAATGTGTGTGGGGCGGGGGCTCCTGGTATGAGAAACAGCTGCTGTTTGAGTCACCAAAAGAGAAAGTTTTCTTTCTGACAGACCAGGGGGATTTACCGTCAACATTGCCTAGAACATGAATGGCAGAGAGAGGATGGAAGCAAAAGAGAGGCAGGCAAGGAGAAAAGAACTACATCCAGGTATTTCTTTTTATTTGCACATTCCCATGAGCTCTCTGTGGGAGTGAAGGAATTTTTGCTAGCCTCACAGCTGGTGAGAGAGATGGAGTGGGGGGAAAGAGACCAACTCTGTTTATTTTATATCACTCCCCTGTTTCTCACTGTCTCTCACCATACTCTGCCTTTCCACTTAGTTTTTTGGCTTTTCTTTTCAAATGTATTTATTTATTTTAATGCAATCTAATTCACAAAGTAATATTCATTCAAATAGGAAACTGCAGAGAAAAGAGAAAGAAAAATCATATAGCTAAAACTAAAAATATTACAACAGTGAGACACAATAGGGCTCTGACTGCTGCTCTGTACTAACTGTAATGAAGCGGGGGCAGGGGGGATAAAAAGTTATATTATTCTATCATTAGAGATCCAGCTAAATAATCCTATTAATTACTAATAATGGTAACTACAGATTGTTGTTGTCCTGTGCAGTCAAATTGGTCTAGGCCATTGGCAACCCTAGAGTGGGATTTTCTGAGACTAAGAGTGTGGGACTTGCCCTGGTCACCCAGTGGGTTTCAATGGTCTACGGGGATTGTAGGACAACAAACCATTAGACCACACAATTATATTGTTAAATTTCTTATATCTCACAATGTCCATAAATGATAAGTACTTTCTTTATATTTGCCTTACTGGGTCACCTACCCTAGGATTCTCCCCTCTTTCATCTTGGCCAGACCCCCAATGCATAGAACTCACAGCCCCAGCTCCATCTGAGATCTCAGGCAGATCCATGAAACCCATGATCTTTACTCACTGTGCTGCTAAGGAGTTTTCAGGCAGAGGGATATGGTGGGGTGGGTATGAGAAAAACAAGGGTAATGGAGTCAGTAGCAGAGTATTGTCAGCTCTGGAGTTTGGTTCAAGAACCTCACCATGGATACCAAGGTCTGTGGAGGCTTAATTCACATTACACACATAATACAAAATACAATCTGTGCAAAATCAAAGGTCACTTTTTGGAATTCTTGCAGGGGGAGGGGGATATTTCCAAGCTGTTAATGACTGACTCCATGGATCCAAAATCCATAGATATGGCCTACTGTATTCAGGTTCCCACTCTGGCAGCTACAGTGAATCAGAGCAAACACTAGAACCACTGTTCTGCCCAATTCACCTTTCAGCTTCCCTCTTCTGGAGAATCACCCTTAATCTCTTGCCTATGTAAGAAGCCTTATGATCAACTACATGCACTATGGACTCATCTGAGAGACTTTCCTGTTAAAATGATGGTGGTGCCAAATGGCTAGAAAATACAACCTTAGAAAGACAGAATGCATATTGGTTCCTCTTCCATCTAGTCTTCCTAACACTAGTCAGCTTGCAGGAGGCTTCTATTATTGGAATGTCTCATTATTGCTATATCAACCTACATTTCCCTTAGCAAGTGTGTTAAGGTTGGGTAGTCTTACAGCTTTGACAAATTTATTCTGTTGTGAATAATAATAACAACTACTACTACTACTACTACTACTACTACTTTATTTTTGTATCCTGCCACCATCTCCCCGAAGGGACTCAGGGTGGCTTACAAGTGTACAAACCTGGTCAAACATAGAATTAAAACATAGCACAGTAAAATTTATAAGAACAACATCGTAAAACAACATAAAATAACATTATCAAACATCCAATAGACAGACATAGTTATAAAATTCCTGGGCGGGCAGGGCTTGTGTAATAAAGTTGTAAGATGCAGATAGAAAAAGTGCAGGAGCCAGATAGGGCTAGAAGTACAAAGTAAATTAGAACACAATATCTATAGGGCAGGGAACAGTGATAAAGTGCAGGAGCCAGATATTGAGTTATGGCTGGGGGGCAAAATAATCTAGTGAACTGTTTAATCAAAGGCACTATGGAACATCCACGTTTTTAGGTCTTTGCTAAAAGGGGACAGGGCAGGCACCAGTTTAATCTCCATATCTTTCTCACAACCTGATATAAGATGGGATGGACCACTAAACATTTCTGAACAGGATTATCATGGCGTACACACATGTGAACATTTATGTTACACCAGGGATGTTGGATTGAGGTCATGGTCCTATAGATAATCTGGATCTAAGTTGTATATGTCATAACCATCACTTTGAATTCTGCCCAGGAACAGACCAGCAGCAAGGGAAGCTGTTTCAACAAAGGAGTTATATTTATGTTTCTTGTAACCAGACCTAGACCCAAGCTCATCCTAAAAATAGGGATTCCCCATTTTTCCCAAATTCTAGTTCAGCACTTTAAGCACTGCACTGGATCCTTAAAGCCTGCCAAGCCACATTGCGGAAAACGTGCCTCCGTAGATGTTTGAATCTGTCATAGCAAGGAGTGGGGAGAATGAGAGGGAGGAGGTGCTCTGGTGCATAACACTAAAAGCTAATACTTATAATTATGCCATTTGCTTTCATGAGTTAGAGGTCTTCTTTCCCAGATGTGCAGAGTACAGTCTTCAGTTGTCAGGTATATATTAATTTGAGTTCAAAAGGGAGCTAATATAAAAATTGGAGTTAAATAGTATGGAATGCAGAAACTACCATCTGTGACAATTAAATTAAAGCTAGAATATATGTAAAATGACCCTTCACAGCAGTAATAGTGAATTATGATAGCCCTGTAATTTTACAAGTGCGAAGTAAATTAACAACTGTAATGGGACAGGAAATGAAGAAGTTCTAGCAATGAACAAGACAGGTAGGAAAGGAGAGTAGGAAGCCGCACCATCTATGATAAGTGGGAATGGAAAAGGCTTGTGTGGAAGTAGCTGGCTGAAGTGTGGTGAAGGTTATATGAAGCCAAGTGGAGACACTTGGAGTGAGTAAGATAAAGCTGAGCTAATATGAGGAAATAAAAACAGCAAGGAAGCAAGCTGAAATGGAACTGTTGCTGAACATTGTGAATTACATGTAACAACATGAAGGAGAAACAAGTAAGAGATGAGGACTGGGGAGAGGCTGAAAACTTACCACTATTTAAATTTACATTTTCTTCATTCCACTAGTTTAGCTTTTTAGGTCAGTTGTTGTGCCAAGTAATGAACAATTGTAAATTTGCCAAGTTAAATGAACTAACACATCCAAAAGCACCATGGCAGTTTCTGTTCTTTCTGGGAAAGGTGAGAACATGCCCTCCAACTGTAGATGTTGAAAATAGGAACACTTATTCTACATTAGCAAAGGACTCTGGGCATGATGAGTGGACAAATAAATTGAGCAAGCAGCCATATGTGTGGAGTCTTAGCAGAAGTAGTAATTCAGGGCTTATTGCAATACTATTTTCTGAATAATCATTGTAGTTGTAAATTACATTTTAAATGCCATAAGCTTTCTTTCCTACTGTCATGAAGCACATTACTCTCAAAATACTATCATTTTGCAGAATGAAAAATATGCATAATAATTGTCTTTGGTTCCCAAGTAGGAACCCTGAGTCTTAAAGCCACTGAAGATTGTGTCTATAATCTTCACTGTACATATCCACATAAGAAATAACAAGAAGAAGAAGAAAAAGAAGAAGAAGAAGAAGAAGAAGAAGAACTTTATTCTTATATCCTATCACCATCTCCCCAAAGGGACTTGGGGTGGCTTACATATGGGTCAAAATGCCCATAATACATAAAATCAAAACAATCCTTTAAAGGAAAAACACAATTAAAATATCAACATAGTAAAATATAACAATCCAGACAATTACATAAAACATAAGAATATAAAACAGCAATGTTGAAACTTAAAACAATGCTCAACAAAACCAAGTAGACACACAACTTTGCTTCCTTTAAATCATTACTCCATGTCCCACAGAGAAAAGAAAGAAGTCAATGCTGGGAGCATGTAGGAGAGAAGTATGCCTGGTTGAGTAGAATACTGCTTCTTAAACTGTGAGTCCCGATCCCAAATGGGGGTCTCCTTAGTTCAGTCTTGGACTCCTGAAAAATTTGACAACAGTAGAAGTATTCTGAATGCCACCTACTAGTTGTTTTAGATATTTACACAAATCTATTGTGCAGTGTTTATAGGGGATTCTGCAGAAGATGTTTCAGATGTGAACCACTTTGGGTCCTGTTTAGGGAGAAAAGTGGGATACAAATAAGGCTTTATTATTTGTTGTTTGCATACCAAGCCACCTTGTCTCTCTCCTGAGGAATCTGTACAAGGACCAAGTAGCAACAGTAAGAACTAACCACGGAACAACAGACTGGTTCAAGATTGGGAAAGGCGTACGGCAAGGTTGCATACTCTCACCCAACCTTTTTAACTTGTATACAGAACACATTATGCGATGAATGCAAGGCTGGGGTTAAGATTGCTGGAAGAAATAGATATGCAGATGACACCACTCTGATGGCCGAAAGCGAGGAGGAGCTGAGGAGCCTTCTAATCAAGGTGAAAGAAGAAAGTGCAAAAGCTGGGTTGCAGCTAAACATAAAAAAAAACAAGATTATGGCAACAAGAATGATTGACAACTGGGAAATAGAGGGAGAAAATGTGGAGGCCGTGACAGACTTTGTATTTCTAGGTGCAAAGATTACTGCAGATGCAGACTGTGGCCAGGAAATCAGAAGACGCTTACTTCTTGGGAGGAGAGCAATGTCCAATCTCGATAAAATAGTAAAGAGTAGAGACATCACACTGGCAATAAAGAATCCGCGTAGTCAAAGCCATGGTATTCCCTGTAGTAACCTACGGATGTGAGAGCTGGACCTTAGGGAAGGCTGAGTGAAGGAAGATAGATGCTTTTGAGCTGTGGTGTTGGAGGAAAATTCTGAGAGTGCCTTGGACTGCGAGAAGATCCAACCAGTCCATCCTCCAGGAAATAAAGCCCGACTGCTCATTGGAGGGAAGGATACTAGAGACAAAGTTGAAGTACTTTGGCCACATCATGAGGAGACAGAAAAGCTTAGAAAAGACAATGATGCTGGGGAAAGTGAAAGGTAAAAGGAAGAGGGGCCGACCAAGGGCAAGATGGAT